ACTAATATTTCTACTACGTGCCTCAATTAATAAAACTGCCCATAACTAGTTAAAAAAACTTAATTTGCCTGGAAAAATGTGGAAGACTTGCACAAAATGGAGAAAAACAGAGCCTAAGGAAATGGTACTGCTTTGTATCCCACATAGCTCGTGTGCAATAGATAGCACCAGTGCCAGCCTAATCCTTAAAGGAAGCTGTAAAGAGGATGACTTAAATACCAAGTAGGATGTTGGCTGTTGTTGCTGCCATATGCTACAAGGTACTAGATCCAAATATTACACATTGAATGTCACGGTAAGTTACAGAAAACAGAGCTGTTCTATATAAACAGTACTGTTAGATCAGAAATTAGTCAATGCAGAAGGCCTGTTTTCTGGATGGCACGTGAAGGAAAAAAAGAAAGACATTTTAGTTTATTAAGATTTAACCTTTATAGAAAAAAAAAGGCTTCCATTAAGATCAAAGTACATGAAAGAGCAAAGAATATAAGGTAAGAAGCAGAACCAGATATCTGAGTCTTTCTGAGCTTGTGACCAAATGTACAGATACTTACAGAACCACTGAGAAAATAAAGTGTTTGTAAAATATTTATTACACATAAACCACAATCATTTTTCTCAAAAAAGGGCCAAACAGTAGGAGAACAAAAAATATAGTACTCATAAATGCCGAGCTTGTAAGAGTAGACAGTAGTAAATTCTGCCATGAATTCTTTTTGGATATTTGTATCACAGAATCACCGAATCACAGAATCACAGGATGGTGGAGCTTGGAAGGGACCTCTAGAGATCATCTAGTGCAACTCTTCTGCTCCAGCAGGGACACCCAGAGCACGGGGCACAGGGCGGCATCCAGGAGGGTTTGGAAGATCTCCAGAGAAGGAGACTCCACAGCCTCCCTGGGCAGCCTGTGCCAGGGCGCTGGCACCCTCATAGTGAAAAAGTTCCTCCTCACATCCAGATGGAACTGCCTGTGTTTCAACTTGTTTCCATTACCCCTTGTCCTGTCACTGGCCACCCCCAAGAAGAGCTTGGCCCCTTCCTCCCTACATTCTCCCTTCTCATGTACTTGTACATATTAATCAGATCCCCTCTCAGCCTTCTCTTCTCCAAGCTAACCAGGCCCAGCTCACTCAGTCTCTCCTCATACGAGAGACGCTCCAGTCCCTTAATCACCTTTGTCGCTCTCCGCTAGACCCTCTCTAGAAGCTCCACATGCCTCTTGTCCTGGGGAGCCCAGAGCTGCCCCCAGTGCTCCAGGTTTGGCCTCCCCAGAGCTGAGCAGAGGGGCAGGATCCCCTCCCTCCCCCTGCTGCCAACATCCTCCTCATGCAGCCAGGAGCCCATTGGCCTTCTTGGCCACGAGGGCACTGCTGCCTCATGGGTAACTTGGTGTCCACCAGGACTCCCAGGTCCCTCTCTGTGGAGCTGCTCTCCAGCAGGTCGAGCCCTAATCAGTATCAGTACAATCATACTAGTGATTTAAAAATTCACTTGCAGCATTTTATTAAATATCAAATAAATATTCACTTCTGTATAAGCATCTAGACAGTTATTTGTCCAAAAAAAAAGAAAAAAAAAAAAAAAAGGAAAAAAAAAAGAAAAAAGAGGTAGTTGAAAAAAACCCTACAGTTTATGAAAGCTAACTTGATACTGTCAAAGTACTCACTTTCCAACCACGAAAGTGCAATTGTTTTGTTTGTTCTGTATCTTCCCGTACATCATTCCTAGTTTGACCCATTGTACCGTCACTGTGTTGAGAAAAAAAAAGGCAACTTTAATCAGTACAAAAAAATGCAAAGGTGATACAGAAACAGGACTAAAAAGGTGACACAGAAACAGGACTATAAGGATATAAGGAGAAGATGAACAGCAAAAATACAAGTGGCCCGAATTAGGTAGCAAGTGAGCAATCCCATTCTGCTTTTCCCAGAGGGGCGCACTGGAATTAAACAGGTGCCTTTCCTGCTCCACATCCTCGCCCAACAGGGCAGGATCTCCCCTTCCCCCGAGAGGCGGTTCCCTCTCCCAAAGATTTCAACGCTCGCCGCTGCCGCCCCGCTCCCGCGCCGCCGCCTCGGGAGCGCCCGCCACCACCTCCCTTCCCCACACGGCCCGCGGCCCGGGGGCGGGGCCTCGGGAGACAGAGTGCCCTGATTGGTGCCATGGGCGGCGCCCGAGCAACAGGGAGCCAATAGAAAGCCGGCAGGGGGCGCTGGAAGAGGCCGTTTGGGTGGGGCAGTGCGCGGGGGGAGGGCAGGTGGGGCGGGCGCCATGTTTGCGGCGGGCAGCGGCTGCGTGTCCCCGTGCGGCTTCTGCGCTTCTCGTCCCCGCCGGGACCCGCCAGACCCCAGTTACTGCCCGTAACCTGCCGGGAGCGCGGGCTGCCGGCTGCCAGGCCGCACGGAAGCACTACAGAGATTCAGTAAAGGGCACAGCACGTGCAAGACTTAGTGCTGACAGCTGGCCAAGTATTTTACCTGCTTTCCACCTTAAGCTATTAAAAAAAATTAATCTTCTGTATGTCTCCAATCTCCAGTCCAAGAGGACATTTTCCTGATGAGGGTCCTGATAACTTAAACAGCTAGCAAGTTCCCACCAGAGCAAGCACCGTCTTCTAGGCACGCTCTTGTAATTCACAGTAATTCACAGCATTTCTGGCAGTGCATTTTCAGAAGAGCGGTTCCTCCTTGTTACAACATACGGGCCTAATTGCCCGCAGGGCTGCTGCAATTGGCTTAGCTAGTGCCCTGGTGGCAGCAGCGTGCAGGGCGGCACGTGTGCTTGCACCATGTGTAAGCGCCTTTGACAGGTCCAACACGCGCCGCGGGCGCTGTCGCGCTGCGTGTTTTCATAGGAGGTGGCAGCTCTGCTGCAGCCATGCCCATCACCTGGGGAAGGAAAGCTCCTTCTTAAACACTGGACAGCCTCTGCAGCTAAGGGGTACAAAAAAAATGCTCTTTTTAACTTTATAAATTATTTGTCAAAGCCAAAAGCTCTTTATATATTTTTTTGTACATTAAGAGGCAGGTCACACTGTCCCAGCATCAGGTATTTCAGACTCCCCAGAATACAGGTAGATGCTCTCCAGCTCATCTTGATGATTTATACCCCCCCCCCCCCCCCCCACTCTATAGATATTTATCACAGTGCTGGAGATACCTGCCTTTCAACAGGAGACAACGGGCACCTCTAGGAACAAGTCAGGGCAGAGCACACCTGAGCACAACTTGTGCAAGCAGCAGCTTTTATTACAGTTCACACCCAAGTACTGAATTTTGTAAATGTTTTCGACATTAAGTTCACTGAGAAGTTGCTTGAAGTGCAGCCCTGGCACTGTTCCCCAGAGAGCTCTGCTCTGCAGGCCTGCAGTGCACACCAGTGACAAGGAGGTCGGCGCATCCTGGCACAGCCACCTCTGCAGAGCACCTGGCCACGCTGTGTCCATTACCACCTCCCTTCACATTCAAATGCTCGTTCCAATTAAAGCCTCTTACCTGAAAGAAGTACAACATCGAAAAGAATGTAATTAACAGCAAAGTATGCCACTTTCAACACAGTTTCGCCACACTTCATACAATTACTTAGTGTTGAATTAGAAAGAATCTGTGATTATGTATGACAAGTTTAAATGAATGAACCATGAAAATGTGTTTGGAAAAAGAAGTGGCTGTCTGGAAATCCTCTGTGTGAAAGAACAATTAAGTACTGTGTGAAAGAACAACTAAGTCTGTTACCCAGACTTAGTTTCAGAAGCCTATAAAAGGAAATTAGCATTGTGCAAGGTATCATTATACAATCACAAGGTACAGCAGAGGAGGATACCTCTCTTGCGAACAGACACAGCAGAGTTTCGTAGCGCACACTGCTAACACACAGAGGAAACCCTCCCCCATGTCCCAAACAACACTTTAATAGTGAAACACGTTGTCCTTAACTGCACTTGGTCAGCAAAGCCATGCCCTGTGCTTGAGTATTCTCTGAGTCAGGAGGGCTGAACTGGTTTGGCTTTCTGCACTTCCACATCCATCTCTCCAAGAGCGGAGAAAATGCACAGAAAGAAATACATAAAAGGTCAAAGAGCACAACTTCACAACAGTTATCATTATTAACAACAAAGGTACTCCAATATACATGAAGCACTGCAGGAACAACAGTTAACATTTCTAAAAGCAAAGGTATTCCAATATACATGAAAGACAATAGAAAACGTGGAGCATGAGCATCAGGAGAGAAGTGATTCCTGCTTCGAGATGGACAGACTGGAAACCTGCTGCCACCCTCTGGTAAGAGATATTTTCCCCCAGTGAATTGGAGCCTGTGAAGAGAAGTGTTAGTGCAGTGCACCTATATGTGATCTTGGACTTCTTGATTCCATAGTTGGGCTTGGAAACAAACATCTGCTGCTTAAAGCACATATATGCTCTTATATAGCCCCCTAAAGGGACTAGAAAAGATGGCGGTGAAGACCTTGCTTAAATTCAGCAGACATTTTTCTTAAATAGAAAAGCAGTCGTAGAAGATGTGTGTGCGTGCGCACGTGTTGACAGTTGTTGACAGTTACATCGATCATAATCATTTTCCCTTCAGTGAAAACTAGCTTTTTTTTTTTTTTTTTTGTCAAATGGCAATTTTTGAAATAAGACTCTGCCTAACAAAATTTTACCTTAAGAACTGTGCGTGGAAAAGTTTGGTCTATCTTTAGGATTTCACCAACCTTTCTAGGCAAGATGTGAAAATGCTTTCTCGCACGTGGTTAATTTAGCAATGCTCCAAACTAACATGACAAATCTACGTAATACGTTCCAAAACTAATCCAATACTATTAATATTTGGAAATTTTTAGTATTTCACAGATAGTGTTGTTCCTCTTTGCAATTCTCCAGTAGAAGTCTCATTTCCTCCATGCTTCCTCCCACTCCCACTAGCACTTATCACTGTAAACAGAATCATTTTAAGAAGAGTATTTCATGTTTATCAACACGCAATATTTATTAATATAATCCAGAACTCTACATACAGCATTGCACAAAATTATAATGGACCGATCAACAAAGTAAAGTTCCTATATAACTGTTGCTAGCGCTTCCACAGAAGTTTACTTTAACACACTGTGCACTTAGTGTTTTAGTAAACTGACAATTTTTAGGAGATTATTTCATATACTATGAAAGCACAAACTTTCACTGAAGGTATACACACAACACGTGAAAAGGAATGCTAAAAATGCCAAAGGCCTAAAACAACAAACTTAAATGAATAAAACAGCACTCCTGGCAATCACCAGTGCTACATTCATAGTCTTTATCTTCTAATAAGAAGCAGAGACATGCAATCTGAAGAAATGCCCTCAACTTGCAATTTTAGACATATGAGCTTAACTATCATATCCCCTGTACTTTTTGGCAAGACTGAAGGACTTATATAAAGTCACCTAGCCCTGTATTACCAGTACTTCCTGAATTATTGTATAAAATAAAGCAGTTGTGTTCATCAGTTGACTAATAAAAGCGAATCACTGTTTTACATCAAAAGGTGATACACAATTAAATTCAAGTATTTAGTATTAAGCTGTACCTGTGGAAATTCTATCCTTCAATTACTGTGCACTCTGTAAGATAAATCCAGATTTTTTTCTTTTTTGCATTTTCAGTCTTCCCTCTATGCCTTTACCCCAAACCAGGCCTGCTTAGCTGCATCCCTACATGTTCAACACTTTATTATTCTGAAGCTGTCAAATAGACATGTCTATGAGCAACCCTCCAAACTAATATAACACCTGGATTTTCAGCCATCTGCCTTAATAGCCTCTTCAGTCAGACTATTAAAGTCTTTGACTGCAATATCCTTGTCCCTGTTGCCTACTTTTAGCCTACATGCATGCCATCTTTGGACAATCAGGGGAGCAGGAGGATAAAAGGACAGAAAGCTGCTTCTATCATACTAGCTTGTGAGGAGCCTGGAAAAGAAGTTTACACTTCTGCCTGAGCACCAGTGGAGTAAGTGCTGAAGGCTGTTACCAGCTTGAAAGCAAACAAACAAGCAAAAAAAATTTACTCTGGAAAAGGTAAATTCTCATTAGAAGTAAGCAAGCAAGTTTCATTTCCAAAGAAAAAATGGCTTCCTGTTAGTATTTTAACTACTGATAGGATTGGTTTTAAACTAGTTTTAAATAGAAGTCTTTTACAATTATAAATGGTTTTCCTGCTACCACATTAATGTCAAGACACAAGTCAAACAAAATTTCCACAAGTTTTTTTTAAGTGAAAAACCCTGGTTCCTATAGAGTTACTGAAGAAGTTCCAGTTTTGTTAAAACTGGAAACATTTACTATAAAAAGTGAAATAAAACTATTTTCTCTCAAAAATAGCTTCTAGTGCAGACAGTATATGAGAAAACACACATTCTGTGAAACCTGGGAATCTGAGTGCGGAAGCAGCTTTACTAGTTTGGCAATCTAAGTCAAGCAAGATGAAGAAAAACATTAGAAATGTGAGAAATGTGGCCTGTGTGTATTCTGCTTTAATACTTCTACACTATACATTTTAACTTTGTGTTTTCAAAAACCACTTTTCAACTACAAAGGAGACTGTGCCTTCAGCATGGCAAAGTACAAGCTTGGATTACCACATTTTGAACCACTGCAAAAATAACACATGACTTGTTTTCAAGACTTCCCTAGATTTATGGGAAAATAAACCACTTGAACATCTATACACAGAAATACAAATACATCTGACACTAATAAAACAGAATGCGCATCTAAATAAGCATAGTGAGTTCTGAAGCTGAGGCGTGTGTGTCTGTGCATTTAAGTATCCACAAACACAAACTTATGAACAATACTTCTTTTCAAATCAAAGCAGAATACATAGGCAATATATTCTCACAAAAATGTTTTGTATCGGGAAGCAGAAGTAAGTTGACGAAGAAAATGACAAAGGAAAAGAACAGTAAGATTTTATTTCCTTTGTATATGAAAATAAAGAAATACTACAGCACTGTTCTCAACTTCTGGATCCCAATTCAACACAAATTACAGCATAAATATATCAGTGCTGGAATTTTACACACAATTTACTTTTTCAAAATGAATTGACTTTATTTTCCTTAAAGGCATCCACACTTTACACAGCCTAAGAACCTGAAGAAAATGCATTCGCTTTTGAAAGCCATACCCTTAGTAAGTATTCTGTGGTGTTCAAGGTCAAAGTAACAGTCCTGAGATTTCATATGTTAAAGCTTTCTCCACAGCCACACGTTCCTTTGATGTTTGGATTATTGAAGATAAATTCACTGGACAGTTTGTCTTCTACATAATCCATTTCTGTTCCTAGAAGTGTCAGCTGTGCTTTCTTCTCAATAAACACTCTAACGCCTTGAAAACAACAGCAAGAAAATTACATACAGCCATGCAGTGCATTTACTTTGAATTTCCAATTCAGTGATTAAAATGAAATCTAAACACAAAGTCCATCAAAAGTCCATTTGATTTCACCCACCTCAGATGAGAGTTCCTATAGAACTCTATGAATAATATAGTACTAGTATCTGTGTGTCTATACACATTTTTTGTTTCAATTTAAGATAATGACACCTAGGACAAAAGGTGTAGAACTTGCCAATTAACTCACTTCTAATACTGGCTTTTCCATGCATTAATCTGAAACCTATTTCCTAGTGTTCTTAAAATCTGTACATCTCCCAAAAATATGAAATTTCAAAGATATAGTTACTTTTAAAGAATGAAAATTAGTTATTTATTTTGGGGGAAAAAAACCATTTTTAAAGAGTATGCAAGGTATCTACCACTTGGAAAGTTATTGAACTTTAAAACTTTGAGTCTGATATGAAGCAGTTACCATTAATGACCGATTTAGCTGATCAAAGACTAGAATAAAATTGAAAAAAAAAAGAGTATCAGTAGCAGCAGCAGTAACAACAACAAAAATACATTTGAGGAAATATGTTTAGAAAGCTATTTCATGATACAAATTAAGACAGGACACGTTACTAACACAGTTCAAGTTCTGGGGCAACCAATTTGAAACTCCATCATTTCTGGCCTGGATCATAACAAACATGGAAGGATAAATCAAATGAAAGATTTCATGGACCGGGTCCTTTAAGTGGAACCACAGTTCTGTATTAGACATCAACCTTTGCTTTGTAAAAGCCAGGGAAGTTGAGCTGAGATCCAAAACTATCAGCTCACTGAGTACAGAGCTATACAGAAGTTAGTCTACAGCCAAAAGCTATCTTGAAGAAACCAAAATGAAGCAAGCACACAGGCATATCTGAAATACTGCCTGACTCTGGCAGGCTGTCCAGTCCAAGACCTCTGTTGCAACAGCAGTAAAATGCTTTCATCTCTCTGAAGATGCAAGCCATGAACTGCCTTCCCTCCCCCTTCCAAAAAAGTGTTTTTTAACCCTCTAAAGGCAGAGCAGCTATGGGGTCCAGCAGGAGAAAAAAAAAAATAAAGGAAAATTCAAGAAGAAAATGTAAAAAAAAATTTATGAGCTGGTCACAGATACTTTCAAAGCAACTAAGAGATAGGCTCTGACGCGGGCCCAGCTTCTGCATGAAAGAAATTGTAATATTCCACTCTAATGTGACTTTGCTACTAGATTAAAAATCTTCCTGAACATAGCAAAGTTCAACAAGGTCTAAGAAAGAAAAACCATAAAGAATTTTTTAGAATTTTTTCCAACAGAAACGAAGATTAAATGAAGACCAAGACAAATATTATTATGCCTCTGTAAAAATTCACTCTCCACAAAAAAAGATCATCAGCAAAAGTTTCTATTAAATTAGGAGGATGTTAAAGAGCTGACTAATGCACCCTACAACAGGCTTATAATGGGATGGTGACATTTTTTAGCAGCAAGTTTAAATGCTAGCATAATAGAAAGTTTTCAATTAATTAATTTTCAATTAATTAAAATGATAAAATTCCTTGTCACAATGCAACAATCAAAAGCATAAAGAGATTAAATCTTAAATTAATGAAGGACAAGACTAGTTACCAGAGCAGACTGACTAGAAAATTCTGTGCAGAAAATCTATCTTGACAAGATTATTTTAGGTATGCTGATATTTTTCTAGATATGTCTTGTTTTATACTCCAGGTTTCTGCTTTTAGGCACCTCCAAGTATGTGAATAATAGGCTTGACCTATTCTGATACAGCACAGAAACTACTCTGTTATTATCATAGAGAACTCCAACTTAATCCAGCATGGGCAAAAAGAAAAGTTGAATTAAGGATAAACCTTAATTTCCACCGCAAACCTACTTATCTTTAGCTAGTTACTTCTGCCTCTTCACAACAAAAGAGAACAAAAAGGCAACAATTTAATAGAATTGGAGGACTTCTGCCTCTGTAATTTGTTACCTCAAGGAATTTCTAACTTTTCCCCTGGCAAACTTGCAATTAACTCTACTTTTGCCTCCCACTACCACACAGTTTCCCCTTACTCCATCGAAACTCACCATCTTGAACTACTTCTTCATCAGACTCTCCTTTCGATTTTGTATATTCTAACGTGTAAGAAAGTCCATTGCATCCTCTTGTACGAACACCTACTTTCACACCAACCTGAAATATGAAAAGTGAAGTGAAATGTCTGCTGGAAGACGAGGAGTATGCATAACAACAAAAGACTGATGTTTAGTTTTCCCTGCTGCAAAATCAGCGCTAACACAGAAATCTAATGGATCAGAAGGCAAAATCTTTCTATTTTACAAACTAACTACCAACATCAAAATTAGACCACAATCATAAACATTTGTCACTCATTTTGTAACTCTCATCTGGGTTGGTTTCAGCAAAAATTTGGCTCTTTGCTCCATGCTATGTTTGATCTATATTATTTCACATTTTACATTAAAGCAACAATATTAGAAAAATACATCAGCTGAGTCTGCAGTCACACTCTCATTATGACTTCTGTTGTTTATTAATGTTGATTTTATCTATATTAGCAATTAGTGACACACTAATTCTTTGCAGAATAATAAACATAGGAAGTGTGTTAAAGACAGTTTTAAAGCAGGAAGCTATTAGCATTTCTGTAGTTGCGTAGTACTGTAAAAGAGTTAAATTTCAAAGACAGATGTTTTGTGACTTAAAAGTTCATTTAAATGCTACGTCAGGCTCTACTTTAAAATTACTAACAGAAACTTAATTTATGAAGTTGTGACACCATAGGCAGCTACTAATTTTTCACAGAACTCCTGTAACAGCTACCAGAAAACTTTCATTCTACCCAGAATTCTGGAAAAAAAAATATTTTGTGGTCTCCATTACCTGAAAAACTATTCTTCCTTTTTTGCAAGTATGTTTATCCATTTACTGCAAGAATCTATGTTAAAGGCCACCCAGTCAATCTGTTTTAATTATTTACAATTATCCTACGTTATGTTATATGTCACCAAAAGAACATATGGGTAAGTAAAGACGTGAGAAAGTGACACCTGAACTGGAAAACTGCATCTTCAAAAAACATCCATCTGCATCCATGTTCAAACATGTATGTTTCATCAGGTAATTACAGGGGAAAATACAGTAGCTTCACTTAAAAGTATTATGATAAATATGTATTAATAATTTTCATCAAGCAGGATCTCAAGCAAGCGGCATTTGTTCTTTTCAGATTAAATACCCTTCTCTACAAGAAAACTAGAAACAACTAGGAAGGTTCAAAATGGGAAAAAATAAATGTCTAACCAGTTACCACCATGCAGGAAGGAAAAGAAACAATTGATCTTGTACAAAAAAAAAAAAAAAAAAAAAAAAAGATCTTGCTATGAAAGGGAAAAACAAACCAAACAAACCCCCATACACTAATGCCTGTTTTTATGATACTATCATCTTTTCTGTTTTCAATGAGGATGAATCTAATACGATAGTTATATATTTCATAGGCAGACTTCTTTCAAGAACTCAATTACATCCTTGTATCAACAACTGGAGACAACTGGTCCGACCACAAGTCACCACCAATGTCATGCAAGAACAGCCAATTAAAATCTAGATTACAAGTATTTTTTTTTTCATTTTTACCTATTTCAAAAATATGTGTAAAGTGAAGTGTCATCACAGTCAATCATTTTCTTTTTATATATAGAAATTAAAGCTTGATAAACAAGCTGATACACTTCCCTCCTCCTCCCCCCCTAAAAAAAACAAAACAAACATATAAAAATCCCCACACATCACGATCTCTAAGTTCTTCAGCATTTGTTTCAAGCCACTCGATTAGCCAGAAATGCTTTGAAATCAGCAACAGCACTAACACCTTAGTGCAGTCTGCAAAGTGGCCATTTTTTAGGCGGCACTTACATGCTCCGGTTTATCTTTAAGAAGCTGTTTAATCTTCTGAACTGCTGATGGGGTCTGAAAAGGAGAAATGTATTCATCAGTTTGGATTCTTTTTTCTAATAAATCCATTACAGCATGGGTATCGTAATACGTGCAAGTGACGCACTACAAATAATTAACGAAAATTTAACTCCAACTTCATGCCGTCTGCTTTTAGAGCGGAGTTTTACCCTCTGACAGCGGCAGCCACCTCGGTGCCGGCTGGCCTTTGTTCTACCAGACACTGACGCCCGCTCTCAAGTCAACGTGCTCCGCTGAACGAAAACAACAGCTGAACCGGATCCATGCACAAACACGGGGGCTGTTTACTGCCCTCCGCATTCCTGCCGGCAGGACTGGGTAACAACAAGGGCTGAAATTTCTGAACTTTTTTTTTTTTTTCAACAAAGCTGCAGTGACTTAGCCAGGGCGCCGCGGCCGGGCTCGGGCGGCACGGACGTTTCCGTGGCGCTCGGCCTTGCGCCCGTGGCACGACCCGGCTCTGCTCCCTTCTCCTGCGCAAAGCTCCCGAGCTGCCCAGCACCGCGGGGCGCCTCACCCTCCCCGCGGCGGCACCGAGCACCCCTGCCGCTGGGCGGTACCCCCCACTCCCCCTCCTCCCCCGCTAACGGTTAACGGCTAACGGCAACGTCCCCGCCGCGGCCTGCGCCCCGCAGCGCCGGCTGTGGCGCAGCCCCGCGGCCCGGCACGGCGGCGGTGCCCGCGCGCGGCGCACTGACCAGCGTGAGCGCGGCGCGCGTGGGCTGCAGCTTCCTCTTGCTCACGGCGCGCACCGTGGCGCGCACCACGGAGGAGGCCATGGCCCCGCGCGGCCGCCCGGCGCCCGCACCCCCCCGCCGCGGCCGCCGCCACGCCGTGACGCCACCGCCGCGCCCGCCCCGCCGCCGCCGCCGCGCCCGCCCATTGGGCAGCGCGCCCTGATTGGCATGGGGCAGGCGGGGGGAGGGGCGGCGCGGCCGTTGCGCGGGGCTGCGCGCGGAGATAACGGCCGCTGCGGGCGTCGCTGCTGGCCCCGCGCCAGCCCCAGCGCCCCCGGCGCCGCCGGCGGAGGGAGGCGGCGCCTGGGCGCCCGCTGCGCCGCTAGGGAGCGCTGCGGAGCCGCGAGAGGCGGCTCCTGGCGCTGCAAACACGCTGCCCGTGCGCTCCCGCTGCGCCCTGTTCCGCTCACGGTACGCAACTCGCAGCGCTGCGCACGCACACTGGCTCTGGAGAGACATGAAGGACGTGGGGCGTGTTGTCTTGCTATGAAGCAAAACAACAGCAGTATTTAAAATGATAATGATAAGGAGGCTGCAGCACCAGCATGCTCACTGTCCCACCCTGTTATCTGAGGGACAGCAGAGGAGTAAAGAAGGGTTTTTCTGCAGCCTCCCCGAGGCTGAAAGGTTCCTAAAAAGCAGCAGTTACTGTTCCAGAAAGGCCTTTGCAGAGGTGAACACATCACAATAACTCAGTAAAAGTGCAGAGGGTTCCGTGGCCACACCACCTGACTTCTCTGAAAGGCAGCATTTTCCACAAGATAGCACAAGGCAAGCAGTCAGAATTGTTTCACGTAGTGGAAGAGACGTAGCGGTGCTACAGAATTACGAGCAGCTCACATTTTTAACAGAAATCTTAGAGAGGGCGGCTACAGAGCGGGTGCCGGGTGTCTGCTCCAGCCCCACACGGGTGTTTCACGCTGTCAGAGGGCAGTGTCATGCTAGGAGCTGCCTGACTGCTGCCCAACAACACATCGGGCATCTAAATCCAAAGAGTCAGATTTTCTGAACCATCAGTACTCATTACTATAAGCCACAGCTTAATTATAAACTCTATTTGTTTTCATTCAGTTCCTTTCCTAAGATACTACAGTACACTGAGCTTTAATAACCAAGCCAGAGAAGGTGTACGTCTCATCAACTGTGTTTATTCTGTATCACAGATCCTAAGTTATCACTGCACTATTTAAATACTGGGCAAATAAATGTATTTATTAGTTACTGGTTTAAAGGCTTTAAATATATTAAGTCACAGATGGTTTATTTTATGTGAAAGTATAAGTTCACTTTATGTGAAAGTATAAATTATATAACTATTATAAAAAGTATAATATAAAACATGTAGTTTTGTTAGCAGCTTCCAAGTGAGAGGGCTCTATTTGTTTTCATCTAAGTATTTGTTCATGGAGATAATGGAGAAAATAACTGAAATGGAAAAGGGTGTGTCTATCTTTGCTGTCAAAACACATCTTCCATCCTTATGCTGTGATGCTGTGTCCTTTACAAGTTTATACATTTCATACCCATCAGCAAAAATTGTATATAGCTCTGAAAAGGGGGCTAAATAAGCCATTGCATACATAAATTCAGCATCTGCATTTTTTGGCTATGAATATAAATATGAGCTGCTTGCTTTCTCGAGGGAGAATTTTTTTTGTATGAAAAAATACACTCTTTTGTTTGATGCTGGTTAAGATTTTGCTTGAAAAATACGGTTAAGCGTTAGAAAGGATTTTTGCAGGGATAAAATCTGTGTATCTAGAGATTTATAAATGGATGGTTATGGAGCTATGAAACCCCAAAAACTCAAATTTGGAGTTTGGAAACCAGTTCCCTAACGCCTCTTTTGAAATTCCATCTTTTACCTTTATTAAAACACAGTTAAGAAAAATAAAATGAAATTTAAAAAAAGACTTAGAGAAGACACGTTTCAAGGAACAGCGATAAAATAGTGAGTTAGAATAAATTCTGCATTTAAATCAAGAATATTGCAAAATAATTAAAGTATAAGAAAAATTTAGAAACTTGTCTGAACTTTGATTTTTTTATTTCAAAATCATAAATAACAGTGGTTTCCATTTTACGATGTAAATTAATTACTTCCTGAACAGGATAAGATGGTACATTACCAGCTATGGCAGGATTTCAAGTAAGGTTCAAGTGGATAACATTAAGTTATTTGCTGGTAGAAGAATCCTCTTCACATTTTATGAAAATGGAAATTCGTTCTTCTAAATTGTCATTTTTTTTTTAAATTCTTAAAGCAATTTTGTCTATCTTCAAGGGCATGAAAAAAAGATCCTTAGCAGCAAACAGGGCAGACCTGTTTAAGTCTTTCTTTTTCCTCTCCTGTACACAAACACAGCAGCAAATGAACTCTCATAAAATCACATACAGGATATTATTAAAAAACAAAAAAAAAAACCAAACCAAAACAAAATCCCACAAACACAAACAAACAAAAGAGCACTGTCTTTGCTTGACTCTTGCATATAGATTTTTTTTAAATAAGTTTACTTATGCCCATGTTTTCAGTTGTCTACAGAAGAAAAGGTTTGCAAACACAGTTGTAGAAGTTTACAAACATTTCAAATACTTTTACATAAGGATTCAGTAAGCAATCAATATTAATAAATACTATTTCCTCCTTCAAAAAAATCCATTTTTGAAGAAAATAGATCATTTATTTGGCTTGCACACAGTTTTAGTGCATTTTGAAAGGATCAGGTTGAATGATAAAACCTTGAAAATGGTCCATTTTTTAAGTACCTGCCCTTATCTACATGTTTTACCTAGTAAACAAATACTAAACATCATGGCTTTCTATTAAAATACTCAAGCAATCTATTTAAGAGTAGGGTTCCATGGAAGTGACAATATTAAAATCCAGAGATTTTGAACTAGCCATCTTAGATAAAATATCCATTTTTTTTGAAGTTGAAGATCATTTATGCTGCTGTCCTGTGAATCCAGATGTTTTAGCCAAAGGGTGAAACAAAAAAGTTTTAAGAATGAATGAATGGCCTGTATTGCAGTGCTTCATATCCCTCATGATTCTTGCTGGGTCCTCTTCTGTGAGGCTTTTCCCTGAGTCATGTATTTATTGGAAAGGCTGCCTAAGATTGGAGAGGGAAAAAAAAAAAGAAAAGAAAGAAAAAGCATTACACTTTACACACATTACATAAAGTTTTTTTAAAAGAGACAAAATAACATTCAATTATGAGTTAGAAGAAAGACTGTCAAACTGTGAAGGAAGGAAGGACAATTCATCTTTATATTATTGCTAATGTTAATGGACATCAGAGTTGCATTCAAGACTCAAGGTAATTAAAGCAGTTTTAAAAAAAAAACCCTTCACTGTACCACTGAATGAGTAAAATGTGTAAAACTGCTGCAAGAAAGCTGCATTTGCAACTATGCACCTAACACAAAGCACATGACATCTCTCATCCAGACACTGTAAACAGAGGCATGTGCATAAGTAACGTCATGATGTGACTCTGCTGGTCAGCAAGTCATGCATGCAGGCAGCTCAGACAAAATACGTGCTTTCAGAGCCACGGATAAGTTAGCTGATCATGTGGAATTCAAGATGAAGGAAGCCTCACAGGAAAGTGTCAGGTCACATGTGGTCCCTGAAGAGAAACAGAGAACCCCACATACTCCAAAATATGAAGTAGAACAGAGAAATGGATATAAAAAGCAAAGCATCCATCCGCAAAATGCATCCATCAGAGTGCACTGAGGAACAGACTGCAGAGAGAACTGATGTGCCCTACAAGTTGCTCTTCCAAAACAAACTGAGAGAAATCCTGCACACCAACAGAAAATCGGCTACGCTTCAGAATTACGCAGCAAACTATTTGGACTGGTGCTGTGTTCAGCATTTGGGGCAGAACTCACATGGGGATTGAAAGGGAAAGCAGGTTAGAGAGACATGCTTTTACACTGAACTTCTGAATTAGCAGATACAAACCTGACTGGGGACTCAAAAACACTTTTCCTTTTTGTTTCTTTTTTTCTTCATGCATAAGCATTCCCTACAAACAACATACAGAATGATGAACAAAAATTGAATTGAGGAATTCCACAAACAAATGAATCTCCTTGAAAGCTTATTTAAATCTATTCCTAGTTATTTTATAGGGTCTTTAGTTCATTTAAATAAAAAAGAGCTCTAGGAAAGTATTTGGTGTTTACCTGATTTAATCTACCAGCATATTTTGCAGCACTGGGTAAAGAAAGAGGTCCACACGACACTTCGGGTTTTGAACTACCTGAAAAAGGTTGCAATATAAGAAAGATAAACTAATTTGAAACTCAGTTTCTCTCTCAGATACTGTAAGATAAAAAAAATACCAGAGTACTTAGAATCTACCATCATCACACACAGAAAGTAGGGCATTACTCTCATTAGTCTGGCAATATGAAAATGGGCACAATAAGGTAAGATCCATCTCATCTACAACTAAGCATGTAAATTTTTAATTGTAAACTTACATTCTGTATCTTCCTCTAGATTAAAGCAAAGCAAGTATGGATCTTCAGAGAACGACTAAAGAGGATACTGGGATAGTGTGAATGATTCACAGTCCCACAAAATGTTTATAGCACAAGTATGTATGTTTACAAAAAAAAATCAGGTAACTTTAGTACTCTACACAACTGGAGAGAACACTTCACACAAGAACAGAAAAAGGGAGGAGAAAAAGACCTAATCCATAGTAATAACTGGTTTCATCAAATTCAGTCTTTCCCAAATACAAGTAATAGACCAAAACTCCTGCTCCAGAATTAGTGATTTTGGATACAATGTACAGTCTCCACACCAATGGCGTGGAATGGATCCACACCATTCCAATACACTGAATGATGTTTACATACATACACCGAAATACAGCAATGTCAGTACAATACAATGTCAGTCCTGAACAGTCAGATAACAATCTTTTTCATCTTAGTGAACTGACGTTATAACCAATGGAATAGTAATAAGATATATGGAGATTGGGTTAAAAATACAGAAACTCTAAGGTTAAATTTAGTTTTGACTTAAATTTTCAAAAACAAACAAAAACAATGTGGCTTGCTTTTTTTTTTTTTTTTTTTAAATTGTTCACCCAATACTTTACAAATATTTGGTAAAATACTTTTCAGTATCTTAGAACGTTCTTAATATATTGGTACCATTTTCCTTCCATATCTAGTTTTAGCATACTCTTATGGTCTCTTACACTGCATACATCTGATAAATAAGCAGGGTGTGTTTATCTAAGCAGGACCAAACATTTTTGCTGGTAGGAAAGAGCTGGCCTAAAACTGCATTTATGCAAAAGACCCTTATTATTATTTCATCTCTTAAAGTAACAGCAATCTGCACACTGGATTTTTTTTAATCATGAGATTAAGTGTCTTTAGGTATACCTAAAGAAAAAGTGTAATATTGCATTCATTTGGAAGCTAACTAAAGGCATTATCTTACTGTCTCATTTTTCTCATTTTTGCTCTTACAATAATCTTTATTTGCAAGGTAGATGATAATAGATCTTCCTGATCTTCCACAGGAACTTAAGGAAGCATTTCTTCACTGTGAGGGTGACAAAGCACTGGAACAGGCTGCCCAGAGAGGTTGTGGAGTCTCCTTCTCTGGAGATCTTTAAAACCCGCTTGGATGCAGCCCTGTGCCACGTGCTCTGGGTGACCCTGCGTGAGCAGGGGGTTGGACTCGATGACCTCTGAGGTCCCTTCCAACCTTCGGCATTCTATGATTCTATGATCTGAGAGACGACTTAATAGTCCACTATTGCTTACAAGTCCTTTGGTCAGGATCTGTGCTTGAGAACATTTTTTGTAATTTTTGGATTTATCTTTTAAGCAAAGTTTGGTATTTGGATCAGAGAAAAAATAGGACAGATTGCTGTGAAGACTACCCCTCTGACAGCTAAGTTAAGAGTGAGTAATGTTTTTTACTCTATTTCATTCACAGTATTCTGTGAGAGCAATTAGATACAGTCATAGTGATGAGCATGGGAGAAGTCTGTTTCAGGTGATGGGAAAAACTACAGACTAGCTTCTATTGCTCTTGTGGTATAATGAAATGAAACCTGTAGTATGAAATACTAGTAAACTACGTTGAAGGCAGTAGAAGAAGTTTCAACGTACTAGAAACTAATATAATTTCTATACAAGTATCTTACCTACTAAAAGAAACTATAACATAACTCTCAGGCTAGAACATGTTCTGAAAAATAGCAAAGGATGAAGGGAAAACTGACCAAATATGACTACATTGTAAAATAAAGTAACTTTGATGGCATGACATGAATGCAGAAACCATATCCCTTAGTCAGCCCTGTTAAATGAACAAAAAAAAAGTTTAAATTACTCAGCTATAATGGTTTCATACCTGTAGCTCCTTTATATTGTGGACATTCTTTTTTAATGTGGCCTTCTCTTCCACAGATAAAACAACGTTTTTCTCTCAAGTCTCTGTCTTCCAGGCGCTTCCGTTTTTCTGCTGATTGCCTGAGAGCTTTGTCTCTTCCAACTTCCAGTGATGCCCTTGTTAGTTTGCTCTTTGGAGGTGTACATAGCTCTGATTTTCCCTCCTTAACTGAGCTCTCTCTTTCTATTGCTTTATTCTGAATTTCTTTGTCCTCTTTGCTTCTTTTCTCTTTGTTTTCTGCGTACCTTTGGTTTATGGTATCTTCAAAATCCTGCCGTCGCCTCAGTCTGCAGAAGAAAAAGGCTGCAGGGTTCACAGGTCTCACATCCATAAGCAGAGGAAGAAAATGTTGCATACAGATGACATAATCCCCATGCATTTCTTCAGTAGGTTAAATAAACTGAATTGATACATTCATCCCTTTACTATTGCACTGCTTGGCAGGACAGTGAATGTAACGGATCCTTAATAATCTACAATTTACAATTAGATTACAATATAGCACTAAAGTCTAATAGCTACACTCAAATATAAACCAAGACCTAGATGCTAGATTTGAAAGAAATAGGCGTAAGAAACAACAAGCAAAAAATCTATAATCAGCGAATTATAGGATTTTTTCATTTTCCATACATTTCCCTGAGAAATCTTGCCTCCCTTCTCTAGTCTGAAAATGTGTATATTCACAGTATTTCTCAAAAGCTTTCCCATAGGAGAAGCTTACAACATTCTGTGTGATTCAATGATCTAACATTGGACACGTTTTATTTCACCTCTTAATACATTATCTGGAGGAGAAGTCACTGAAAGTCTAAGGTCTTTCAGTCAGTCACATACAGTGTTAATGGGTAGCAACTTGAAAATAACCTCAAAAAATGGAATGAATGAGCAGAAAGGTAACAGATGACCTCAGGGTAGATAAATGTAGGGTAATACATCCAAGAAAAAATAACTTAAATCATGTTTGCTTAATGTTGAATTGGGTACTGGCAGCTACAACTAAGGAAAGAGATCTTGAAAGAATTTTAGAGAAATCCCCAAAACTAACAGACTGGCAAACAGCAGCAGCCAAAAGGACTGACCGAATTTTGGTATCATCACATAAAATACTGAGAACAAGACAAAGCATTTTGTTGCTATATAAAATGCACGGTATGCCTCCATAAGAACATTATATGTTGGTCTGGTCTCTATAGCTTAGGAAAGTAGTAGAATTAGAGAAGGTACAGAGAAAAGTAGCTAAAATAATCAAGGGAACAGCTACCTTGGATTCTTACAGATACCCACAGTTTCTTCACCTTACAGAAGGCGGCAGAAGTGGGGGACACAATCATAGCTTACAAACTCACCGATATGAAATTACTGGTAACTAAATCCCACAGTACTACGGAATGCCTGATGAAACTAGTGTAGACTGCTACCAAATAAAGAGCAGGAAAATCACAGAATCACAGAATATTTCAGGTTGGAAGGGACCTCTACAGATCATCTAGTCCAACCTTCCTGCTCAAGCAGGCACACCTACAGCATGTGGCACAGGGTGGCATCCAGGCGGGTTTTGAAGACCTCCAGAGTAGGAGACTCCACAACCTCCCTGGGCAGCCTGTTCCACTGCTCTGTCACCCTAACAGTAAAGAAGTTGCTCCTCACCTGGAGATGGAACTTCCTGTGCTCCAGCTTGTGGCCATTACCCCTCGTCCTATCGCTGGCCACCAGTGAGAACAGCCTGTCCCCTTCCTCCCTGCATTCTCCCTTCCTGAACTTATACATATTAATCATATCCCCTCTGAGCCGTCTCTTCTCCAGAGAAAACAGGCCCAGCTCACTCAGCCTCTCTTCATTCATTAGCATTCATTAGCTGCAGGAAGATATTTACTAAATTTTGAGTATTTCACAGACAAGGATGTGAAAACTGTGCTTTTGGATACAGGCGGGACTCTGTTCCAATCTGCATGTGTGCTTAAAAGAAAAAAGTCGTGCTGGTCATGCCATTATTTTGCTTTTGGACATGAATGACATTATTCTGTGAATATGACAAAAAATATCTCATATTGGGAGCACTACATTTCTAGATATAGAAGCTATTAAATGAAAGTATGTAAAAAGCTCTCATGAGTACTCTTCACAGCACACAGTTATTCAGCTTTAAACACTCAAGGAGATGTTGGTAGAAAGTTAAGTGGTGATTTAACACTGACTCAAAGTTTAAAAACAGACCCTTCTGCCCCTATTGCCAAGGTTGGTATTCACATATACTCATATTAATAATAAAAAAATTACCTGCAATATATACCCTTTTTTTCTTTAACATTTCTATTCTAACATTTCTTCCAAGCAAACGTAAGGAAATGCTCCATACAGATCCCAGATACTTACTTTCTTCTCAAGGGACAATCTTTCATGAAATGTCCAATTTTACCACAAATTCTGCAGCATCTATCATTTGGTGCTAATTCTCCTTCTGTCAGTACCTCTGGATCAAAGAAATACTCCTAAAAAAGAAATCATTCACATAAAAGAACTAATACCATTTGGGAATGTAAGACATAAATTAGAGTTAAGCCATACTGAGTTACAGGAAAGAATAAACCTTCCTGTGGGTAGCTGAAATCATGAATGACCACGTGAGATAACTGGCTTCTACTGCCTCTTCTTCAAAGGCAGCCTGCTGACCCACCAGGCCTGCAAGCTGCTCTGCAACAGCAGTTTAAAAAACCCCATACACTGTTTTGACAGAAATTACTATTTCTGATAAACCAGTACCATGGAGTCCTGATTTGACTAGCATGCTGTATGCTCCTCATATTTGTTTGAGAGGAATTCTCCATTTATAATTTCCAAGTACAAACAACATGAAAGCAATACTCAGTAATAAATTGCACAATAAAATTTGTTACAGTCCCACTTAAATCTAAATGAGAGGAACATAAAGAGAGCGCAACCATACTCCCAAATGCGATGCCTTTTATAGCCTATGTGAGCACACTAACACATACAACTGCCCTTTTAGAAGTGCCATTTCCTTTAACAAAACTTACCATTTTTGATGGATATTCTTTAGGAAATATTTTTATAGGGGTACCAAATACCCTCCTCCCATTGATAAAAGCCTTCATTATAAAGTTTGTCACTGAAGGGAAAGAAAAGAGGAAAATTAAACAAATCAAAACGAGATCTAAGTTAATCACTTATACTCAAATCTGTGAAAAGAAAACTTACTTTTTCTGGATAATCCAGCTCCAAGATTATGGTTCAGATCAAAGGGATCTGTATAAAGAAAAATTACAGGCATTACTCAATACAGAGCAAAATCAGGACTATATACATATACAAACAACCCAAGACAGAATTCCCAATGTAGAATTAATATACAAATTAAATTCTTTGCAAATTTGCTGAATGTAAATTTACTCCTAATTTACTAATTTATGAAGAATCATAGCAGCTCAGCTCTGAACCAAGTGAAGTGCTATGAAGAGTAGGCTTTGCTGCTACAAGAGCAGAAATCCTTCCTGTGACAATCAGCTGGGCCTGCAAATTGCAGCTTAAGGAGCTTTTCCAAAATGTGTCTGTGTATTTTCTTGAGACCGTATTACTTAACAGGATAATACTGCATATGGTATGATCAGTCATATTATGTAATCATCTAAATATAAGTTGGTTCATTACAGCTAACTTTTTCTCTGAAGCATATGGGTAAATTCATTTTTAAGTCAGCTAACATTATGCAAAGCTGAAATTTACTTTACAGCTTCTTTTCAGCAGGAAAACAAATGAAGAGTTTCCAGTCAGCAATACTGAAAATTAACGAGAGCTTTGCTGAGATTTCAGATTATACACAAATGGCATTTTATAATGTAGCAACAGAAAAACAAAGCAAGTCATACGGCAAAACTGATTTTTTCATATGAGCCTTAAAGGAATTCCTGATATTCATGTATTTTATGTGTTTTTACCTTCAATTACAATGTATTTGGAAGTCCACTGCTTTTTGAAAGTTGTGAGCAGACTTTTCCTCCTAATGCATATGACATGCTCTTTAAAATCAAAATCCTCGGTGTAGAAACGGAGAAGTCCAAGCCACAGCTGCCCAATGGATTCAGTGTTCTTGCCATATTCTGGCCAAATAACAGACTAAAAATAACAGAAGTATTTGTTTTTCTAAAATGTACATTATTTGAATTTTAAATAATTAAAATAACGGTCCTTAATATAAATTTTATTTTATAAGAAGCATAATCGAGTCATTCTGGAATACTTCCATTATCTTCATAATAAAGACTAACTTGGTTTACTGATACTTAAAATTGTATTTTTAAGCACTGAGATTAGCAATATGAATAATTATTATACTTCTAACAATCAGTTTTGCCTGTTATTGAAGTTTATTAATTCACTTGCAGTGTATTTGATCATATAATACAAAATTATTGAAGTGGATTAAGCAGCGAATAGATATATAACCTATATTTGTATGAGTTATCCCCATTCACTAATGTGATACACACAGAAATTAATCATCATCATATGTTAAAAATTATTTCTATCAAATCTGCCTATTCAGATTTGTTAAACTTAATTAAATACAAACAATTTTGTTCTGAAAAATTCACAATTTGCAGTTGGGATGTCCAAAGCAATACCTCTGAGTAATTTCTATTTCTTGGTTTACTATTTATGTGTATTTATGCCACCCAAAGAGAACTTAGGATCAAAGATTATTTTTTGGAAACTGCTTTCTATATTAACATTATGTTTGAAGACTACGTTCCTTCAAATGAATTCTTCTTGATTTGCTAAGCTATGGGTAACATCATTTCAAATTCACTTTCTGATATACTCACCAACTCTTCTAACTTATCAAAGAAATAAACATTCCAGCCATCAACTAAAATTTCAGGCTTCTTTGGTTCTTTGTAGATCTAAAAATACAATATTAACTCATTAGAAAAGCCATTCAGATTCAGCATTTTTCTGGTCCATTCTGTGCACTGATACTCATTTATTCCTTGAAATACTGTACCTCTTGAAGAACAGGGATAACAGGTGGATTTCTTTGCTGAAGAAAATAAAGCACCATGAGAGTATATGCATAAGAAGAAAGGCTACCTCGAGATGCATCTCCAATATCACACATCTAGAAAAAAAATATTAATTATGATTTTCATAGTTACCATCAGTTACCATTTCTAAATGTAAGTGCTGTCTCAAGCATATACTTACCTTTGTAAAGACTTTCATTGTGTAGCACAGGTATTTTACTCTAGGATCGATGGCTGCATATGATGACAGAAGTCTTGTATTATGCAAGGCCTATAGAAATAAGAAAGTCATATACAAAAAAGAGTAGCCTGCAGAAAAGAGGTAAAAGGCCTCTGAAAACAGAAAAAATAACTTTGGTCAAGGTAAGCAAAGTCAAGGAACAACACAGGACTGCCGCTGTGAGTTCACACATATACATGCAGAGTTTCTTAAAGAACATTGCAATTTATTTAAAAGTCATGGACAAAAGCACTAGAGTTGTGTGCTCAACAAAAGCAAATGTGAAACCCTGAGTAGTGGAACTAATAACTAAGGAAGGAAGCATTCAACTATGTAGTTATCACCTGCTAAAGAGCAAATAAACATCTTTAATCTGCTCCCAGGTGGTGCAAAGAAGCATTCACAGAATATTACTCAGAAAGGGAAGTATTAATCTATTACTGTGTTTTCAAAATAACTGGTAGAAGGTAAGTTCTTGAACTAAAAGATTTTCAGCCCAGAGTTGTGAGAGCTATCAGCCTACCCATATGGATGCAAAGCTTCAAGAAGAGACTTTCAGACTTACTGGGCGGCTGAAGTAAGTGGCTCAAGATTCCCCTTGGATGGATACAGAAACTTCAGAGAGTTACAGAATGCTACTCTCTAAAACTTAATTTCCTTTGATGTTTCAAAGAACTGGCTTTTGAAGTTCATAGACATTGAAAAGAAAAACAAAACTTGTTTTTAAAATATTTGGCCGAGGACTTGTGCTCTTTTGTATTCTGTAACAGTTCAGGCAAGTTGATGTCAAAACTCACTATCCCAGGCCTCAAATTCTAAGAAACTGCCATGACTGGGGGGCAAGAGGGAAAAGAGTGAAGTTAAAGTTATTTCTTTCTGAGTTACAGAAATACTCAAACATCTCAAAGCTTAGTGATTACTGTAACTGAAGAAGGAATACATCTCAGAAAAATGCCAACTCTAACCTGACTCCACTTGTAATGAAATAAAAAAATTGGTATTCAAAAATCTCAATCAAAAATTGAAATAGTTAATTGAAAAGTTATTACTGAACCTCAGCAAACCCAACGTTTCAACTCCACCTGTACATCCCACTTCTTTTAGCCCATTAACAGAAAAGGAAATAACCTTACCAGTGTGTTATATAAACTGATGTCTACTTCAAGACCACTTCTGACATGGAAGAATTTGACTATGGGGACTTTAGCAGTTGTTATAGGCAAGACATTTCTTAGACCTAGAATGGAGGTTTAGCAATTGAAGGATGACATATAGTCATAACAGTGTCCTACACACAAATGAAAAATGCAGCAGGAGTGTTACAAAATTAAATCTTAGCTGATACCAAAATGATTTTTTTATACCTATTTTAGGTATTTTAGGCATTTGCCAAACATCATGAATCTACATGCAATTATAAATACGTATACACACATACATACAAACGGCCTGAAGATTTGTCTAAATTTTACAGCAAAATGATTGTCACTTCAATGCAAAACTTTATATGTGATAAAAACGTGTAAAATCATATTTTCTTCTAAATAAAACAGATCACTTAGGGCAAGCTTTTGTGAGCTTGACATTACCATTAAAAATGCAATGCAGCTACTAACCTGAAGCCCCAAACATTATCTTAAGGCTTCTTCTCATGCACAGAGGTTATGACTCTATCCAATTTAGATCTGGTCCTACAACATTATTACCGCAGACACCTCCGCATACAAGAAAAAAATCTTGTATGTTCCCAGCATATCATATACCCTCATTCTTACTAATATCAAACCCTAAAATAGAATTTAATCTAAACGATTGTATCGTACAATGACACAGAAGTTTCTCACTGCATCAGTTAAAGTGACATAAGTAAAGCCACTTATTTTCACTTTCAAGAAAGTACCTGAATGTTTCTTGAGAATTTTTGCTAAGTCTTCAATGATTCGGATGCAATCAAGGCTCTAAGACATTAAGGAAAAAAGAAATCACTAAGATTGCATCTGCCAAAACAGATCTAGAAAAGTATTTCAGACAAATCTTTTATTATACATCATTAAACTTATAGCTATATAAATCAGGGTTTCAAATTGCACAGAATGATGTAAATATCAGAAAAATTTTAAAAATGGCATTTCTTTCAAAACCAGTACTAAACCAGGTCTTAGAAGACTTTTTTTTCTTTCAGTAGTGAATTTATATTAGACCCAGTCCTTCCCCACAATCTTGTATAACATAAAGAGCTAGAAATAGAACTGTAACACTGATAGTATTTATTTGCAGTGTTAATAATAAAAAAAGGTTAGTGCAGAATATGGAAGAAAACTGAGTAATAGGAATAAAAATTTTAAAGGCCTATCCATGACAGGAGTAAAATACTCCCAAAATATTACCCACATTATCTGTTTTTGAGGCAATTATTCACATTTTCCTCTAATCAGAAACACTGTTACAAAAAGTAAAATGGTTTCAGTATATGAACAATTTATGTAGCTGTAAAAGTTTTACATCTATTAATAAAAAGTCTTCTACCTCAGCAGTTTCCAGTCCATCAATAGTCATGCAGATATCAAGGTCACTTTGTTTGAAGCCGAAACCATTTTTGGATGAGCCAAACAAATTCAGCTTAGTTCCTGTAAAATATGCAGCAGATAATGTATCAGTGCAGAATCTCAAATTTTATACAGCTTCTAACCACTATATGCCATTTAACACAGGCATGAACAAATTACTGTTTTGATGAGCAAATAAGGCTATAAGTACTCCATAAATCTTTTTCATTAGAAAAGAATTGGTACTTTACTATTCAAATGAGTCTTTTACAGATCTAGAAACAAACTGGGTGGCCAAATAATTAAACCATCATCATACTAGCTAAAATCTGGATAAAATATAGAAGATTGCTCTCTACAGATATCTTCAGGATAAGGAACAGATCTGTCCACATACCAGGCTCCATCCAAAAACTCTTTTGCAAATTTTAAAAGGACTGAAGTCCAGAGGCTATACATAAGAATTCCAGAGATAAAATAAACAGTGTCAAAGAACTAGGCTTCAAAGACAGAACAGATATGTATCTATAGCTTAAAATACCCTCAAACAGAATAAGTTGTGGAATGAGTATAAACTCTCCTGGCTTTGGACTGATTCGCTTTTTTCTAGTACATCTATGCACTGCCAATTCTCTCTCACAGTAAACAGAAGAGCAAAGGGAAAAATAATGCTGAAAATAAGGGTAATATATGAAGGGCATATGCATCAAAACACTGCTTCTTAATCTTGGAATCAGATCCTTAAAGGGGTTAAGGGCTACAGAAAACTTAATGTTTATAAGAACAGATACAAAAATAGGAAGCCTGATGAATAATGAGATGAACTGAGATTAAAATCTCAATTTAACTAATCTGAATGACATGAAAATGACAGCTACAGAACTGTTCCACTACTGCTTTTATTATTGTTTTCTTGACTTTTTTCCTTCCTACCTATGTCTTGTATTTTTAAGACAAAGAAGCTAAAAATGAAAACTGATTTCTTTTTTTAAACAAAAACCTGACATGATTTTGGATACTTCATATTTTAAAGAAGGAGATTCCTTGGCTCAAACTCCGCAAATGGTATAAATGGATGGGCCATTAAGTTATACTCCATTCGGTGATTCTACGTGATTCTGTGATATGGCTGTTGAAAGCTTACAAAAACTAACTTAATGTTATATACTAAATGTGAGCAACAATGTAGTTTAAATCATCATATACTAAGATATCTATATACTGGGAAGACGCTGAAGCATAAGTATAAATCCAGAACTATGCAATTACCTGGGAAGTCCTGTCTAATGAAGTTTTCTAAATTTTGTCTTATATGTTCCCGAGCCTGATCCTCTATAATATTTGGAGCAAAATCCTCTTAAAGAAAAAGAAAAAAAAAGAAAAATTAAGCATGGTGATTTCTAAAAACAATCAACAGCAAAGACTGAAATGAAGAAGTGGTACGGCAAAGGGCAGGGAGCAAGGAAAAAAGCAAAAGAACATTGTAAAATTCACATGTGAAAGAAAAAGCAAGGATGAAGAGAAACACCTGTTCAAAGAAAAATATTAATTAGACAAATAATGGTCAATAGTGGCAAGAGAAAAGAGGAAAGTTGGGTCACTGAAAAGAATAACATTGAAGAAGTGTTACAGAACAGTGTTCTTCCTCTGATATTTTTAGAACTTCAATGTCTTCATTTACTAGAAACCACAACTAGAGGTTCAATCAGTGTTGAAATTCAAGGTAGGGCCAAATGTAAGAACATTAGACAAAAAACTACCCAAAATTAAATTCACAGATCTGTATTTCAGTATACAGAAGATAAACCTAAACATCATTTACTTCTCTAGATAGAAGCAGCCCTTCTCTAGCAGCCCTTACAAATCTAATGGAGTTGGATGCTGCATGGCAGGTAAATCAGTTTTCTTTACAATACCATCAGTCAGTGTTATTTCATTATTTTTTGCAATACTTTTCTATCCCACAATATCCGAAAGGAAAAACAAAACAAAACAAAAAAACACTTACGGTAACACTGGATACAAACTTGATCTAAAATAAATGAAAATTTCGGTGTCAGCGTTGGCAGTGGGTCTAGCTCAATCTTTTTGAAGTCTTCTGGACAATCTCTCTTTAAGTGACCTTCCCGTTTGCACAAGCTACATACTATTGTAGGAGACTGTATGAACAGAAAGCAATAATGATTTTAAGAAATATAGGCTTATAAATGATGTTGAATAATGCTTTCAGACAACTGCTAATAAAACATAAGCAATATGTTAATGTTCTGATAAAGACTGCTTACCTTGCCCTTTGTAAAAGCTGGTTTACTGAATTCATAAAAAAGTTCAGAGTCTGAACACTGTTCTATAGCCATGTTCTCTTCAAAAGCACTTCTCTCTGCAAGATCCTCTTGACTCAAATCAATCCTCACTGGTCCATCCATATTTTCTTTTAGATGCTTTTCTTTATACTTAATAGGGAGAGACAAATCCTCCTCCTCCTCCTCAGACATTGCGTCCTCATCCCCGGTGTATATGTTATCTAGTTCACCTTCAGCTCTTCTAGTATCATCACACTTTGCCTGGTTTGGAAGACTTTGTTCTTCTTCCTCTTCATCTTCATCATCCGAGTTCATCACTTCAGGTATTTGATTCTGTGTTGAAGGGACAAATTTGTTTGGGGATTCATCCAGTTCATCAGTACCTTCAGTACTCTCCTCATCAACATCAATCTTGCCATCCGTTATCCCACTGCACTCTAAGCCAAACTCATCACTCTCTGTAAAAATAGCGTTCTGAAAACCTTCCAAGTCTGAAGTACTGCATGTTTCTATATCGTGATCATTCACTGTAACAGGGAGCTCTCCACTTTCACTATCATCGTCTATTACATGATAGGTAGTCATCAAGTTGTTATTCCACCTTCTTTCTTGTTCATGTTCTTCCTCATATTCTTCTTCTTCATTCCCACTCTCTGTCTCTTCACAACTTGGTTTAAAATCTTCATTTTCTCCAGAAATAATTTCTTCAATTACACAGTCTGAATCTTCATGAGCAATTTCCAAATGACTTGTATCATCAGCCAGTTCTTCTTCAGTTAAGCTTTCTGAGCCATCACATAGTTTTGAAGGATCAATTCTGTGTGTTTGAGGGATACCTGTATTGTCGACTCTGCAGTCTTCTACTATTGCTGGGTTTGTTTTGCCATTCAAGTTCTGCAATTCAGAATTTGCATGCTTTATAGCATCTCCTCCAGGGTCCTGTGTATGAGAATTCTCCTTGGTGACATTTGGAGGAATTTTTTTGTTGAACTTGGTGTTTTTTTTGTGAGGCAAGGCAAAATACTTGTATGTTGCTCTCAGGCAGTGAAGAGTATACTCATACACTAGCTGGCTGTTCAGAGTTCTTGCTACATTCCTTTTAACTGAATATGGGTCTGAGAGAAAGAAGTGAGCCAGAAATGGAGGAGTTATTTTTTCTTTTTAAAAATACTTTTACGTCTTCTCAAAATTTAAATTTATTAATATCAATTATGTTAAGACATTACATCGAGGACATGAAATCTAGGAAGTGTGCTGAAGAAGTATGTTTTCTTTTTATTATTATTTACTTAATTATATTTGGCAACATTGATAAAAATACCCAAAAGAAACATTAGTTAAATTGATTTGTTTCAAACCATATTCTTACATTGTTATGATACGCAAACTAAGACAAGAAAATCTAACTTGTTATAGCCAATGGCAAGAGCCAAGGCAGTACCTTAGGAAACTAAAGGTAACAGCTCTCTAAAGTTTGATGGTAAACATCATCTACCTTCCACAGCAATGCGCTTTTTCGGCCAGTCCTTTAATTCACGAGATACGGTTTCTTTAAGTCGTATGCTAATAACCAAATCAGCCAAATTAAACTCCAAGGCATAGAAACGAAGCAGCTCTACCCACAGCTGACCAACTGGTGCTGAACACTGGTGTCCTTCATCAAATACTAAGGGAACCTGTCAATTACAGAGGAAAAGCTTAAATAACATTTAATACATGCATATGGATTTAGTTGTTTAAAAATGTCAAACTAGAACATCTACTTGCTAATAGTATTTATACTCGGTCTGTAATGTAATATAACAAAGTCTATAGTTGCCTCCATATTCCATGCTGATGTATTAACATGAAAAATTAATATTGCAATAAAAGCAAAATTTAAAAACACAATATGAACTAGGATTATAAAACTTCAAAATTGAAAATTATAGTAGTGATTGAAGAATTACATCACTGATTAATAACTCTGTGTTTTCCACAACATTCCATTACAAAGAGAAAAAACACCATGCACACACACACATTGAATTTAAATTTGAGATAGAACATATGCACAAAATCTACTGTTCTTCTGCAGTCTTGAAGATTCAAAAAAAACCATTCAAGAAATGCACGAAACAAATTTTATTACTTGAAGTTTTTAGATACTTATTTCACCAAGTCTGCAAATGTTCAACTTCCATTCAATATTTTGTGTCTCATCTGCTTAGAGTACATCCCAGTAGGCAATATGCAATAATATTAAAAGATACAATGTATGTTTAAAAAATTTTTTTGTATAGTCTTACACGTCATATTAGTATTAGTAAACTTAGTAAATACTGTGTCAGTATTTAGTACAAGTCATTCAAAAATATTTTTGCAGTTAAGAATACTTTCAGAGGTTTTTAAACAAAAGGATTCCCTTAATAGTAATAGGTAGTTTTATTCTTTAAAAAGGTAAAATTATCTATCGGGTGTAATTGTATAGTGATATTGATAATTAAAAATAATTTTTAATTAAATTTTGAATGTAATTAAAAAGAGTTCAAAATCTTAAACAGTTCAAAATCAGGACACAGTTCTCTGCTAGCTCCTCAACACCAAAATGTAAGCATAATAAGCCTCATATTGAACAGCTCTCCCAACTTCTAAGTTCATCTTTTGGCTTTGCAATACAAACACAAAAAATAGAACACGGGTCTTACTCCAAGAACAGCAATGACTGCTAGACAACAGAAGTAAGTTAAATGATCAGACCTTGCCCTTTTTAGGAGAAGTTTCCTTTGGTGTATCAGAATCATCAAGAGCATTATGCTCCCAAACCACAGTATCATTTTCCACTTCTTTAAGACTAAAATTTGTTAATTTGCTTAATGAGAATCCGTCAACCTGGAGAAGGCATGAGAAAGCATCACAAAGTTTAGTATCATGTGAACTTTAATGACGCAAAAAAAAATCCAGGGAAAGACTATGATTCCATTCATAATGTTCAGCATATTAACACACATACCCATGATCCGAAATAAACAGGTAGAAATGGCTCTTTCCTCTGTTGCAGAAAGAAGATAACCATTATAGCAAATACATAAGGTGACAAGCCTCCTTCTTCAGGACGATCAACACAGCACAGCTGTAAAGGTAAGTTAGGCAGTCATTAAAATCAAGTGACACTGTGAAATACTGAAGTCTGTCAGATTAAATAATGAGAGGGACTCAGACATCTCTGACCTTCTCTTATGAGATGGACTTAGCTGTGAAGGCCTTCTTATTTTCTGGAGTCATATTACTACTATAAACTTTTCAGTGAAAGTTCTACTCTTCAAACACACTGAAGAGTCATTGTATGCAGACTGGTAAAACAAACAGCATACTGCACATACTCAAAAAAAGGATAACTCTTTTTCTACATAGATATAACAAGTTTCAACTCAATGCTTTAAGTCATACTTTAGTTGAACGTACACAAAGTTTTGGAACAAGTCATTCTCTTTTATGGGAGTTTTATAAAGTTTCTATACTGAAATCTAAACATCTTTGAACTTTTTCACAGTGGATTAGCTTATGGCGATTCTATTTCATATGTGTTTCTCTGACTTGTTTGGCAATCTAGAAGAGCAGGACATTTAAATCTGTACACCAAGGGCTGGAGATGAAAATCCTCCTTTTGCAATTCTGCAGAACATCATATGTACAAATAATAATTTACAAAACCTACTATTTATAATAATTCAATATCCCTTTTCCCATTCATTCATTAAAAAGGAATTTCAACGACAGTTTGCTAAACTATACCTACAGCCTCAATTGTATAACACTAATATTCATACAAAACAGACAAGGGAAAACAAAGAACTCCTACCTTTGCCCAGTACCTGAAGGCAATCACTAAAGGTACTATTGTAGGTTCCAGTTTCCCAAGAGTAGCCAAATGGTTTGTGGTCAGATAAGCATTCTCATTCCCAGCACTTACTTTACAAGTAAGACCACTAAAAAACAAGAAGAAAAAGTTAAAAACCTTTAATGTGTTATGAGAAGAACAATAGGTCAGATGTCATCCCTCAAAACATTGCAGTTTGATGCCATAAAGAAATAGAGAGTTGCCTCTCAAAGAGGCAACATAAAAAGAAACAAAACTAGCTTGATTTGTGACTCATTAGCTTGATTTGTGAGTCAAGTGAGAATAAACGTATTTTAATTTTCCGTTTTCAAATACAATTCAAATTTAAGCATTTTTGTTTCTAATAAACATTAATATACCAAATCTAAAACTGTACTCATTTTCTTCAGGATATAAAACCAACTTTCCATTTCCACAGCCATAGTAAAATGGTTTCTATATCATTTCTAGAGCACAAAAAAAAAGCTTCCCAATAGAGAACAATCATGATAGCAGCAAAAAAAAAAAATTACTATTTTTCTATCACTAACCATTTAAAGAATGTTTTGCGAATCTTAAGTGATATCCATTAAATGGGCAAAATATAATGCTTTTCTCCTATCCTCAACATACCATTGAAGTTAAGCTAGCTGTTCTCACTCTTTAAAAACCCTTATTTTAACACCTAGATATTATCTAGAAGGAAAGAAAGCTTCTGCTTAAACAGTGATTCCTAATGGTGAAGTAAAAGTACATGCTGGACACTGTAACTAGGGGATTGGGAAACAGGCAGTTGAGGACAGAACAACCCTTACCCTCTTATTCTAGGCTAGGAATGACTTGCCCATGAGTGTTAGTTTGTGTTTCAAGATCCATGGAACTGTAATAATTTAATACAGAAACTCCATTTTTCAGATCTTGGTATATACAATTTACATTACTATACTCTATTAGAACACACAAAGTGACAACTGAGACCTTTGTTTTTCTCTGCACACCACCACTGGTATTCTAGCATGGAAATCTGCTTCAACTTCAATAAAAGATTCTAGAGGGAGAAAAGAAAAAGCAGTATTAGACACAGGAGCGACAGGAATATGCTGAACTGGAAGTTCATGCAGCTAGAGGAGTACGTCCAGATTCTGAATCTCAGCTTCCAAACTATCTCAAAATTAGTAATTTAATTAACCAAGCATGCAGTACATCTGACAGATTAATCTGTTATTCTTTTTAAGTACACTTTAAAACAAGATAGAAAAGTATCCTCTAAACTATATTAACTAGTGCTGTTTAACAAAATACTTAAGAAAATACAAGCTTTATAAAATTCAGTATAAACAGTAGGGATAATACAATTAAGCAGATGTATCTGTTAAAGGTTGGCTTTATTGCACGCATTAAATTAAATTCCAGAAGAACTTAATCTCTTCAGACAGACAGAGAGCCTAATGACATTTGTAAAACAAAGTTAAGAGTGAAAGATTAAAAAAAAGAGTAATCTCAGAACTTTAGGAGAAAGTATATCAGCTAATTTTCCCTGGCAATCTAGGAAAATTTAACATGTCAGAACTGGCTTTTCCATATGATGCAATGGTTTTTTTTCTAAACCTTTTTTTATCTCTTCTATGTGTTATATAATTTTCCAAATTCAATTCCACTTTTTAAAAAAAAATCTTTATACTTACAAAGGACGAATATAACTCAGCTCCTTTTTGCAGATGGAGTGAACTCATCCAAACTAGAAGTTAGTTTCACTGGGCAGAACCCAAAGAAACTACAATTCAATTTTACGTATCCAATTCAAATATTCTGAGAGTGTTGTTTTCGTGGTGCCATATAGCCATTGTGGCATCTGAGCTTTCTGAACACGTCTTGATTTTGGCACCACGCTCCTCAAATGCATACTATTTTCTGCCTCTGTATCCAGACTCACAAGAGAAGGCTTAGCACAAGGTGCTAGAGAAACTGGTGCTTGCTTTTAAAAACATTTTGCGGATGCTGAGTTTTGGACCTTTATTCCTTCACTTTGTTTAACCACAAAAATCTTCATTCACAAGGGCTGAAGAAGCAGCTGCACACATGTTAAGGGGTAAGAAAATGGCATAAATCTAGCCCAATAAATGTATTCATACTTAATATACACATTTAGAACTACACCTCTACTTCTCCTGCTACAGACATAAAGCAAAACAAACAAAAAAAACCCAAATCTTGGCAATTCCCATGAGAAAGGAAGATAATCTTCTCTATCTTTTTTTTCCCTGCATACGTTCTATTTGGTTGGAATGCAGTTTTCAGTATCTTAAACTTTAGTGCCTTTACTAACACTTTACTAACTAGTTATGTGCTTCTTACATAAAAAAGTGTCTGTATACATTTATTTGTAGATGAATTCAGTGTATTAACAGGCATGCGCACTTAATTGGAAGAAAGTAAGTTTCTAAGTTTATAAACACAATTTGGAAGGGCCTAAGTTATTTTTTCAACTTATAAGGCTAAGGGTAATAGAGTAGTATGAAGAAGAATATTCTAATGGCATCTATGCTTATAATACATAAGAATACTCAACCAATATTTTTTCACACCTAAAAAAAAAAAAAGGGACTTCAAACAGCGTCTAAACAGAAGACAAAACAAGAGTTCCATCAACATATAATTTTCTACAATAGTTTGTACTCTTACATTATTCAGCAAAGCAGCATATGGCTTACCAGTTCAATAGAACTGGGATTGAACATTATTAAATAGTAAGAATAATGTGAAAACTATAAACAGGCATGTCCTTTCTTACCACTATTCCTTAGACTTTCTTGCACAAGTAAAAGAACATCTGGTTGAGCCATCTGCGAAAAAAGCAATAAAGCCATTTTCACTGTTGTCAAAAAAGCTGTTTTCCCACAACTCATATTCTAGACATACTCTCCCCTCTGCCATTCTCTTCCCTCCCTGCACCCCAAAATGGACAGTAAAAAGGAAATAAAATGGCAGCAACAAACAAAATAGGAAAAAGAAACATTTCATCATTGGTTAGTGATAGATTATATCAAAAAGAAAGAAAACTTGGCTTAGAAAAGAATCCTAGATAATTTTAAACAAACTTTTTATCTCTAAAGACTTTATGTAAAACCTGAAGAACTATTGTTCCAGTATTCAAATATGTTAGCTATCTGACACAGGGGATTTACCTCATGTCAAAGTTTGGATTCACAGTATTATCTTTAACTATATGTATATTTATGAATTTGAAAACATTTTTTGCCTCCATTACATTTCTGTGTTTCCCTGGAAAAATACTTGATTTCAGCTATGAGGTTGTCACACGTACTACAGCAGGAATATGTTCAAGCACAGAATCAAAAGCTTTTCACCATTCTTCTTCCCAGTGATCAAAAAAAAAAATGTACAGAAATAGCTCAGATAGCAAATGAATGCTTTAAATTGTTTCACAAGTAAATGATAATGATGGTTTCATAGTTCAAACATAACCTAGGATTGGAAACCCTAATGTGCATGTACCAGTGAAGAGTCAGAAGCACAGGTCTGCCATTTGATTCAGTTGAAATAACTGTCTTAAGGACCACCTGGAGTCCAAGTACTTAAGTTTTTGAGATTTTTAGAAGGAATGATTGATAAAGCACAAAAACACGTTCTATTACATGAGCATTAATGGTATACGTAATAACACTATTTTAAGACTGCATTATTATGGTGGCTCTGCTATCTAATGAATTTTCATTAAAAATGCTATTACCTCACAGCTGCAAGTTATATTTAAGCTATAATCTACATATATATATAGCATATATAGCTAACCTATAGATAAGCTATAAAGGTGTAAACATCCAAAACCACTTGGATGTATATAATAAAAATGGTCTTACTTACGTTGGCAGGAAACTGGATATCTATGTTTATGTCTGATGTTTTGAAACCAAATCTGCTACAGGAGGAGCCATACAATCTTAATGAGCTCTCTGCAATGGAAAGAATTGTACTACATTTACTCTAGGTCTAGTTCTAAGTCTGTAGCTACTTTACTATTTTGTCAGTAGATCTTAAACCTGTATCTAGTTTCAGCAGCCACAGGAGTGAAGTTCTGTCTTTTGATAGAACAGAGCTGAGTTAGGAAGTCCTACCTCCCAGGCTGTAGGTAGCAAATGCTTGTTTTGATGGTCAAATATAGCCCATGTCCTTCCTCATCATTTTTTTTTCCTACAATACATGTCTGTCTGGATCATTAACATTCATTATAATTTAATTCTGATATGACGCTACATTGTCAGTTCATGTCTTTCAGCAGGTAGTTACAAAACAGTGTCTTATTATTTAACTAACCAAGCTTTTTAAGTTCACATATCTAGCACTAAAGCAAAATGGCAAGCAATACCTGGCAAGTTCTGATGCAGCAAATTTTCCATTGTCGTTTTAATTTTGAGCCTTTCTTCTAAATCTTCATTATTTAGACCAAACTCTTGCACTACATTTTCAATGGCAACACCAATAGCTCGTATTTGGGAAGGTGTTGGAGGAGGCAGGGCAGTCAACAGTAGTTCCTCTTGCTTTTCCTTTAAAAACAGTAAGACTGAGGTTTCAATTATATTCTTTGGTTGCTTAGCATGCCAGAATGAACATATGCAATTTATCCCAATTAACATCACCATGGCTTTTCAAAATACTGGAGGTAATTGGAAATAAGTATATCAAAGCAGAAACGGTAATAGATACAGTGAAACATATTCCAGCAGACTTCAGTGAAGTGCATAATTCATTACATGTATTTGTCACATAATTTATCTCCTATAAAGTGGGAAAGGGCAGGAGCTAAAGGCAAAACAAAAATGAAAACAGGCACAAACTTGTTTTCATCCACTTTAAGCTGAGAAAGTAAGTGGAATCAGGAGAAACTTTACTTAAAAGTAAAACTGAAATTGTACTAGGAGTTGTTTTATATGATTATGCTCAAAACAAACCTATTATTTCTTTTTATAAATAGACATGTCTATAATACTCAATAACCTCTGATACATTTACATTTATGTATTTCCAAATGGCAAGTTTCACCAAGATACGCGGTGGTTATTTCTGTCATACTAAGCATATTTGCTTATTGTTAATTCCTCATTGCTTTGGACTTCATCAAAACTTCATTGTTTGAAACATGCCAACAAAATCGGCACTAAAAATACTATATATAATCATACTATCAGAGGGATTCACAAAGAGCAAACAGAACGGTCAGTTGCTACTGTTTTCTTATTACATTTAAATCATAAATAACAAGATATTATTGAATTATACTATAGATGACAACATCCTTCAGTAACAGACATGAAAAGGTACAAATTAAATTCCTAAGCAGTCCATTTACCAAACTTATTCTTTCTAACAGCATCATCGAGAGCTTCTGACAATCACTCAGAGTTTTAAACATCTATGTGGCAAAAATGCATTAGCAATGTTTTTGGAAGTAATGCAGTTTCATTCTCAGTAGCAGGATAAGCACAGTTTAATGATTCTGTGCTTTATATTACCTACACTGACTTTAACTCACCTTTACACTTTTCTTGTGTCTTTTCTCTTTCATGTGCTTATGAGCAAAAGCCACTGACTCAATCAAAATATCACACAATTTGCATGTGTATTTCGCTGATGGATAGCTTCGGGGTCGCTAAAATAGAAATGATTAAAAAAGAAAAGCTTGAGATGTAGAAAAACACTACCTTAATTTTAGTCAATGCTCCTTCCAAGTAGAATAATTCTGAAATGCAGAAATGTGCACACTAGTTTCCCCAATTCTATTTTTACAAACAAAAAAATGAATTTCACATATAATGTCAGAAGAATTATGATATCAGAAAATTAAATCCAATATTGGGTATGTTATGGGTGGAAAATACCCACAGAAGATTGCATTAACTGAACTACATATATTAAAACTTTTCTAGTACACTGCCCTAGCCCATAGTTAATACACAACCTAAAAGATCAGCCAGTTTGTGCTTAACTGCTTCCATAAATTCATGTATTTGATTTTTTTTTAATGCTTAAAATTCCTGTGGAATTATGGACAAAGACTTATTACAGCAGAAAACGAAAGATAACTGGTCTTCTTTTGACATTCAACAGCACCAATTTTGCTAGTTCACTTAGTTATCGATCCACACTTTTTTGCTAGAATTTATCCAGAATTTTTAGTTAGAAAAACAGCTCAGAGCTGACACTCTACATTGTATTTACTGATTAAAAAAAAAAGAAATAGAGAAACTACATAGGTAAAGACAATGGCACCTTCTTCAGTCTATAGATGCAGTCTCGCTTCAATCTCTCCTCAGCCTGCTGCAACCCGAGAAGTTCCTTTGCCGACAGCAGAGATTCATCTATGACTGGAGCATCCACCTCTTCATCTTGATCATACTCATCTTTTCTAGTTCTTCTTGATCTCCTTGGTTTCCGATGTTTCTTGATTTCTTAAAAAGAGTTACGAAAGCAAACATGTCAAGTAACCTCAGAGTACAGCACTGTATTTGGGGATTTTTTTCTTTCCTCTTTAGTTTCCCCTCTGGTTATGAGCTAACCAAGAAAGACAGAAATCTACCCTGCATAGTTTTCTAGTCTGTTCTCTGCAAGTCTGATAAAACAATCTGATCCATGCATGTTATAAATGTAGCTTTGTTAAAATTAAAAAGAAAAATTTAAAATTAAATGCAGTAGATTTCACCTTCTGCTTGAGGTATACGCTGTACATCACTCAAATGAGAAGACCAACTAGGTCCAAACATTTCAGGATGCCTAGAAAGGCGTGCATATACAATTTTTTTAGAAAATCTGTAGTCCCACCGACCACCCAGAATAGTATAGAATTTCTGAGTATAGGCCAATTTGAATGATCTTTTATTTGCATGAGCTAAGAGCACTAAGATAAAGCATGGCAGTGAACTAGCTGACATATAACTATTTATTATCAGTGGGAACAATTGCAACAACTGTAAAAAAACTGCACAGTTGCCTTTCATTTAAACCAGAATATGGATAAGGATTGCCTTCCTATAGTTGAAGTGACAAATGAAAGGCAGATAATAGCCGCTTTTGGCTACTCATGTCAATAAATAATTAACTTGATAGTATTTGCACATCCAGATTTATAAAGCTACACATCTTGCAAAATGAACATGCTTGGTTACATTTACATCAAAAGCCCTGGAAGGCATTAATGGACAAATCATCTCTAGTTTCAAATTAGCTTTGCCATTTTTGAAGCAGGAATTGATAGTGGTCTGAAGAATATATATATATAAAAAATAATATATATTTTATATATATTTTTTATATATATATATATATATAAATAAAATAGTGACCTAAGGAATGTACACAGGCCAAATGCATGAACTTAGATCATATCTTATCTTTCAATTAAGTATACATACAAGATGTCAAGGTGCTTGGAATCTCAGAAGTTCTGAGTCTTCTGAGAGAGTTTTATGAAATCTTCTTAACACTTTATCACAGCCTCTAGTTTTCATTTTAAATATTACAAAATGATAAAAAAAAGCCTACCTGTAACACTTTTTGTCTCTATAGTTAGTAAAGAGAGAAGACCTGACTGCGAGCTTTCAACCAGCTGCTCGATTCATTTCACTGCACAGCATGTTTGCACTACTGCTGTAAGTAGAAATAGGGCAAGAATGGTAATAACACCCTTGCATTAAGCAGAAGTTTATGCTGGGATATGTGAAAGACAACTAAAGCCTAACAGTTTGAAGGTGCAACACTATAATGAAAGCCCCAGAAAACACAAAGAGAACTCAAACTTATCTTTTAACTTTACACATCTCCTCAATTTCTGTAAGAAAACGAAGTGAAGAGACAGCAAGTCTCTCCTGCTAAAATTTCTGATACATGAAAGGGTTACATTTGGTGGCTGATCATTGTAGACAGATCTTGGAGAAAAAGTCCTGTATGTTACTTTGCAAGAAAGCCTGTGACAGGTATCTACTAATCACTTACTTCCGAGAGCACAAAATAACTTTAAAAAATTTATAAAGCAAATATTTCTAATATTACTCAGCAATTGCAGTACTTGCAATCTAATTATAGGCTAATGATGAAAAGTACTAATTGCAAATTAGAGTTGCCAGTCACGCAGAAGAATCAGTGCCTCAGAGATTTACTAAACTCCCTCATTATGAGTTAAATGAAGTTAGCAAAAAGGTCAGGGAAAGACACAAGTACATAAAATATCTCAAGGATAAGGAAGAGCCAAAACATTAGAATTAGAAATCTTAAACACACCTCAAGCGGTGAGCCATTCTCTGCCTGTGCTTCACAGCAGGGTAAAATGGGCTTGCTCAATCCTGAGTGATGCTTGCCTAACCTGTTCTTAAAGGCTTCCAGATACAGAACTCCTGAGCTCCTCACACATCTAATCCAGCAGTTCTCTAGCTTTACTACTAGAAACTTCTCCTTTACTCTTTATCTTAATCTTTCTTGCGGACATTTAGGCCAATTGCTCTGTGTCCCATCTATTAGAAGAACACAAAACAGATTATTTTAATATTCCTTTGTATAGCTAAAGGATATTTTCATGCCCCCTTCTTTTGTACAAATATTGGTGGTTGTTTAAACTTTATGTAGTTTCTGTTTTCTTACATGTCCTAGCATTTTGTTTTGGTTTTCTTGGGATTGTTTCTATTTTGTCTGCTGAAATAGACTGTTCAAGGTTGAACAGAGCACTGCAACTGAGAGTTTGCAAAACACTGACAAAATAAAGAATATTTCGGTTTGCAGCTGTATTTTTCTCATGCCTCACAACAATATGACTACTGGTGAAAATCATCTCATTATAATTCTAGACACCTCTCTGAAAAATGGCTATCTATTAGCTTTCTCTCCTGCATGTAGGCAATTGATGTTACAGAATCACGCAATGGTTGAGGTTGGAAGGGACCTCTAGAGATTATCTAGTCCAACCCCCCTGCTCCAGCAGGGACACCCAGAGCACGGGGCGCAGGGCGGCATCTAGGCAGGTTTGGAAGATCTCCTGGGAAGGAGACTCCACAGCCTCCCTGGGCAGCCTGTGCCAGGGCTCTGGCACCCTCACAGTGAAAAAGTTCCTCCTCATATGGAGATGAAAATTCCTGTGTTTCAACTTGTACCCATTGCCCCTTGTCCTGCCACTGGCCACTACTGAGAAGAGCTTAGCCCCTTCCTCCCTACATTCTCCCTTCTCATGTACTTATACATGTTACTCAGATCCCCTCTCAGCCTCCTCTTCTCCAAGCTGAACAGGCCCAACTCAGTCTCTCCTCATACGAGAGATGTTGCAGTCCCTTAATCATCTTTGTCACTCTCCACTGGACCCTCTCTAGAAGCTCCATGTCCCTCTTATATTGGGGAGCCCAGAACTGCACACAAACCCAAATTTCTACCCAAATAATGATATTTGGGAATAAGATATATTCCCAAAGAATTAAATAGCTATTTAAACCTATTTTTAAGCCATCTCTCCAATTTTGCAAAAATATTTCCATTTCTCTTCCTGTCTTTGTCCATTCAGTTCCATCAGTTCTATGGCATATGCAGATTAATAAGCATGCTTTATTCATTCATCATCTGGAGAGTGCCATAAGCATCAAAATAATAGATTTTTGTAGATGCTTGCTCATTATTTCCTTTCATTTTGACAAAGTCATTGTAAGTACTCTCTGAGTATAGTTATCAAATTGGCTTTGCAACTCCCTTATTTAATTTTGTCTAGAAAAATATCCTCTACTTGACTTGTAGGACTGCCACATAAAATTATATCCATGATTACTAGTAGAATCTCTCCACTGCTTCTCCCATGGTTGCAAGAGCTGACGACCCTTCTGAAGAAACAGACAGATTTAACATAATTTATTCTCGACCAATCCATGCTGACTGCTACTTATCTGTGTTACCTTCCCAAATACTTACAATAAGCAAGATTATTTGCTACAGAATGAATCTCCGAGATTAAAGCTGTGTATCTTTCCTTTCTAATTCTGTGGGGTATTCCCAATTGTTGGTATGCCATTTCTCCTGGCTAAGTTTCTCAAGTTTCACAAGATGAAGTTCAGCAGACACAACCAATCTGAGAACATTTATGTATTCTACCCTGCTGTTTCCTCATTTGAGGTGGAGTTCAAGTGTGAAACACAGTTTACTTCCAGCAACGAAAGATATTAAGTACTTGCTTACCATTCTTTTTTTTTTTTTTTAGCAACACATGATACAGAAGAAATGAGAAATAACTCTTGGCTTTCTTGACATCAACCATCAAAAATACCTCTCCTTCTGTGAAGAGCGGAAGACCAATATTGCCCTTGGCCCCTTTCTTAATTAAGCTAAGAGAGATTTTGTGTTGAGATCCCTGAAGCACATCTCAGCATTTCTCATTTTATCCTACACTCTGTTCTTTATAGTGTCATATTGCTAACATACTCAGCTAATTTGTACAGGGAAAACTGCAGAAATACTACAAAGATGTCACAATCTGCTCATACATATCACTTAGAATAGAATCTACCAAGCCAATGCTGTTGTGATGTATCATGTGCTTATCATGTGCTGTAACAATTTGTTTAAAGTGCTACAAAATAATATAATCAATAGTTTGCAAGGTAATACAGAAAAAAAAATTGCTTTAACAATGAATCTTTAAATTATACTTTTCAATAGTATATAAACAAAGCCATTTTCTTAATAAATATGCAAAAATAAACAAACAAGTTGATTACCAGAGCCTCCTTTCTGCATGTCTGAAATGTCTTCACTTGTTGAATCCTTCTGAAGTTGTCTTCTTACATTTCTGTTTCCTGCACCTTCAACTTCCTGAAAAGAGTCCTTTCTTGTCCGATTAAGTGTGGGAATCCAGACTGCAGATCTGTGCTCTCTCCAACTGTCAGAATTACCACGATGGTCATCAGATATCCATTTCCTCACTTGCTCTTTTTGCATTTCAAGTAACTTTGACGTTTGGTTGTGATTGATATTTTTAAGTGAATTTGGGCTATTCAAAGCACTACGTGGGCCTCGTCTGGGACTATTTCCATAATGAGCTGGTGTTGCCTTTTTCTTCTGAGTGCTGATATCTATTTTATTGCTATGACCATTTGCACCATCATCCATGACTTGGTAGTCTGTATGTAGGGGATTCCCTTTTAACTCTTCTTCATGCAGAAATTCCTTCTCCTTATTTTGTTTGGCAAAGCAGGGTTTTGCAGCATCTCCCATTGTCATTGCCATTCAATGACTCATACCTACAAACTAGAAAGCCTTAGCATTAAAAGTTTTAAACTAGCACTTTAAAATAATCAACTGATAAACACAGCTGCACTGGCTATTATTTGAGAAGGAAACCACCAACAATCAATACCACCAAAGCATGCAAGTTGGGGCACAAAACAAGCTTTGCTCCACCCAGAAAAAAAGACAGTCTGAAACTGGGCTGTCCTTCCCTAATGGTGTCTAATCTCAGGAGTGATTCACTAAATTGATAGCCCACACACTTCTGGATAGGAAGGTCTGGAGTCTTTCAAGATACATAATAAAGCTGCATAAACTGACTGCTTGAGAAGGTCACTGCAAGTCTCCGGTCACAGCACAGGTGGTTCTGAGAGAAAGGTCTAGGCAGGCAGGCAGAGGTAGAATTGCTGGGAGGTAATAAAGAGGATGCTTCAACAGTCTATGGTATCTGAGTAATCACTTTCCTTCCCCACAACAGCAGACACTCTTCATCTGCTAGAAATGAAAGCTGTGGGCCAAAAGGCAGAGATTGAGTTGTGCCCTGATCTGCCTGTGAAGCAGGTATCACTCAATAACTAAACAACAACAGTGCGTGTGCTTGTGTTACCCAGGATGGAGCCTGAGGCCTTATATCACTAGATGTTAAACACCTGTATTTTATTTAATATTTTTTAGAATGTTTGGGCTGTTGAGCCGCTCCCAGATTTGGTCCTGTCCATGTTCTTGTTGTAAAACATGCCCTGAGAGAGCTGTAACTCAAGTAACAGCATAAACCTGAGCAAACTGAAATGAGCAGCTATCTGGGAGAGGCCGGCCCAATGCGAATAAACATCAGCAGTAACAACAACACTGAATATTGTTTGACTTAACTAACGCCACATACAAATGAGAACAAAATGTTTTCTCTTTCAAAAGACACGTAAGCACTTAAGGATGCAGAGAAGGCCGTAGGGCACTTACCATAAGCAGTTAAATAGGAGATGTTTCTGCAGTCTCTAATAGGGTGTCTGACTTTAAATTTAGACGCCTTTTAACCCTGCAGGCCTTAAAGGCACTTTCAGAAACCTCAGTACCTGCTTTCGACAGTCTTGAAGCCTCATTACTTATCCCTCTCTTCAGCAAAGAAGCTGTTTGCTCTTTACGAGCGGCAGAAACACGGAGGATACCTGTCCGCAAGCAGCGACGCTCTCTCAGCGGGGCCTTTCCCGCGCACGTTCTGTCAGTGAGGCGCTCCCGCGGGGAGGGAGCTGCCCCAGGCGCCCGGGAGCCCTTCGGGCGCACGCGGTGGGCTCGCTACCCAGCCCACAGCGGGAAGGCGCTGCGGTGTCCGCCCTTTGGGCTGACCTGGGCACAGCTCGAGCCGGGGAGCCCCGCGCCGCCGCGGGCTCCGGCCCAAGGCTCCCGGAGCCGGGCGCGGGGCCGGCGGCCTCACGGGCAGCGGCCGCCGAGCGCAGCGACACCCGGAGCTG